TATCTCAATGATAAGCTAGTCAGTTATAAAACTATATGCCACGGCCAAATGCACAGCTCCTAATCTTGGACAAGTGAATAGTTCAGACTGGCGTGTCATTTGCTTGACACTAGGACGGGACCATAGGATTCAATATTCTAGATGATGTTGTTACGTGATAATTCCCAGGAACATAAACGAATAACAAAATACAACACATCTAGTCGAGATTCCTACTTGGTAGCTTCGGTATCTGGAAAAAATGGTACCTTCCAGATGCTTCCACCATCCCGACCACAAACAGCTTTGAGAAGCTCACCTTTGAGCTTATGTTCCTCGCTTCCATAGTTACCTCCGTTTCACACAAATTCCAATTACTCCATAAGTAACCTAATGAAATGGGCAACTACATTTGGAAATTGATCTTAAAAAAAGTCTAACCAAGGTTCAAAATGTGATCCTAAAAACTAAATTGAAGAACTTTTATGTTACATTCAGATTTTGTTATGGTCTGTTATTGAATCAGGGTTGATTGATCTATTCGTAACCTACGACCTAACCAACAGCAGAACCAAATTCCAGCTCAGGTACCAAAGTCCACACGTAAATCCAAACCAAAAGTGCCCGATATCAAATTTATAAACACTGAAGTTCAAAAGTCGAGAAAAGCAAATATATCCAAAAACGCAGTGATATTAATGGTATTCAATGCAACGTTTTCTGATCAGTTAAACAATTTTAGTTCTTCTCACAGCATATTTGTCTTCTTTTTCTAACGTCTTTCTTTATAACGCAAAAATGAGTTTGTAGGGTCAGTGAAATGTCACAGGGCTCTAGCCAAATCATCCAGTAGTTTAGTAACATAATGTCTCCAAGGTCAACGAACACTCGTCAGTCAATCCCACGCCAGGGAGTGGCTTATGCAGCAGTAATTGTAGTCTGTTTCTTGTACCTAATCTTAGCAATATATTCCTGTAGTGACGTTATTTATGTTGTATAGTCGTGGTACCTGGGTACGACGAAGAGGCGATCCACGTTAGGTACTAACCCTGAGGTGTGACTTCGACGTTAGTTGTTTGGTCACACCATTCCCGTCAAACTCTAGAGGGCCCCCAGTCATTCGACAGAGATCATCTTCGTTAGTGGTCTGAAGGTTTATTTTCACCTGCACTCACATCTTAACGTTTTTCTCCAGGACGACAAGAAAGGATGAAAAACCGATGAAGAATATAATGGATCTAGATCTTAACGGTACATTTCTTATCACTATGTCTTACCGCATTGCTCCTTATATTGGAGGAAGATCACAGAATTCTGCTGGACATTGCGAAGTCTCAGAGGTGTTTACCAGTGGCAAACCAGTTGGGTGTAATATTCTGGCTGGCCGCATCTCAAGGTCTTCGTGACCCTACTAGTAGGGATGAGTGGGTTGTAGTCATAAATAAACTGACTAGCGGTTGTAGGAGAAGTTGAGCACAGCGTCCACACTCGTGATCTGATGAGGGCGCATGGTCGAGCGCCTTCAGCTAGTTGAGTCCATTAGAACTAATGTGGTTAGCATCAAATGTCAAAGGCTTACAGAGCCATTGATTTTGAGGATTTATTTACCGCTACACTACAAATCCAGCAGTTCATGATTTACGGCTTTGGATTTCTCCATGGGGTTTGTGTTGTAGCAGTAAATAAATCCCTAAAAATAAATAGCCCTGTAAGTTTTCGACATTGGATGGTGACCATATGTTTTAGTGGACTCATCTAGCTGAAGGCGCTCGGTCAGGCATCCGCACCAGATCACGTGTGATAACGCCGTGCTCAACATCAACCGCAGTCGCTAGTCAGATTAGATCGGAGAATTCCGATATTTTGGTTATCGCCAAATACACTCTTCCGATCTCCTCGACTCTGTCTTTTGATTTCTCTGGGTGGTTACGAATTATATTAGGTGTCACTGGTAGGAGCGTTGTCAAACACTGAATACCTGTGTCATATCAGTGGCTTTGTATGAACGCTCTATCGATCTAGAACTGATGGTGTTTAGTCACTATAAGTGAAGGTAATGTTCGTTTTGATTGAATTTCCCTTGAAAGAAAGAAAACTAAAAGTTAAACAGGGAAGGCCTTGAATTACTTATACTTATGATACCTTTTGTAATTAACCTTGACAATGATGTGCTATTTTGCACTTGATGTCCTTCGTTTACTTTACTCGAATAAAAGTGAAAGCAAAGTATCTAGAAAATTGCACCATAGGATTTTCCGGTTTTTTTATTCACCACAATTCGGCTTTATGACTCTCACTTATTGATTTTGGATAAATATTTTTGTGCTACCTTCTATTGACTGGTACATATTTGAAGATTGTCGCTGGACAGGAAGACAGAGTAGAGCATATCAATTACAAGTGCAAGTTCTGATTATTGTTTGCACGGGCTTAAGACTTGTGATAAAGTTGTATTCCCTGGTTCTTCGTTCGTTTAGGTCCCAGGAATTAGCTGACACTCTAAGTGTTGATTGTTGTTCGTCAGTAAAGCATCTACATCATAGCCATTTTATATTTTGACTTATCCATGTTCTTTGATACTGGGGCACTCAAACGCTTTATGAAACTTTTTTCTTTTATTAGATCCTCTTTTATATCAGTTTAATATTTTCGGAATTAAAGGCTCCGTCTATCTACTTGCAGTGTTGTTAGTGTTAACCCGTCAGTACAACTAACTAAAGACATGCTGAGGGGTTTGACTGAGCTCTTGTAGAGATTAACATTCCCTCAAAATAAATGACATAGTAAGTATTTGGCACTTATTTTGACTATACTTTTACTGGACTTAAAAGTAGCTTGAATACCGCTCGGGCAGTGAAATATCACTTAGACATAACCAAATCTCAAAACAAGCAGACCGTTTCTACATTAGAGGATTGATCGGTGAAATTTAAACAGTTTACGGGATATGGTCTAAGTCAAGGATGACTATCATGGACAGCTCAGTGTAATACAAGATGTTAGGAAATGCCAGTGATGGTTCCACACACACTTCTTCATTCTCTTCACATCTGAATAAAATGTCCACGTCATAAGAATCTGTTTATTCTGTAGGAATTTCAAAGATTCACTACTATTTGAGCATCACAATAAGGAAACCTAGACTGAATATTTATTGCGCAGTGTGAGTTGATGTAAGTTAGACCATCACAAAATCCCCGTTCAGCTCATTTGAACCTAACATATTATGGTATCTAATACAGACATACTAAATGAATATATTTGTTTCTTCATCTTGGAATATGGTGCCTAACAGAGCATGTGACGGTAAAATGTATCAGTTCACTTCTATTGGTTAACTTGTGCTTAGGATTGCAATTTTTTAGATGATTTTTACGAGGAACTTCTCAATATTCTCATGTTTTCTATCTATCTGTTTGTCATATTCCATCGCTATATTGATCCATAAATACTTAGGACGTGTTGAATGATTGATACACTGGACGGTTTGAAATCATTTCAATACACTGCGGATTTGATCAGTCTGACTCGGCTCTGGATATATCGCACTACAATGCGGTTGCTAGATATTCTCTTGCCAACGTCACCATAAATCCAATTCCATCACAAATAGGTCATAATCTCGTGTTAATCTAATACTGCCATTATTTCAGTCCAGTTTTGCACAATCAACTTAATTATAGTCTTATTACCTATCCCTAATAAATAAGCTGGCGAATTCGCTTACTGGAATATATAGAGGACATACGCAGTACTTGTATACAGTCTTCGATCATCCACCTGCATCTTGGAGTGTGTTCTGCAATTCAAGCTATTTTCTCGATTGGCTTTCATGCTTTTTGGTTACCTTGTGGTTAGGATTTATTGAAACTCTTCTTTCCGTCTGACGGCTATGACGACGTTGACGCCACACACCGCTACATACTACTTACAAGCAATTTCGAGAGTAGCGTCTACCACAGTAGGAATGAATAATTGTTCTGAATTCAGTAACTCTTATCGTGAAAATAGCTTCGGTGGAGCGGATATATGATAAATCCTCCATCGAAATCTTATTATCAAACCTCTTTATTCCTCCAGTCTGTTAAACTACTAGCAAAAGTATTTACACGCTTTCCTATTTAAAAACTATCTTAACTGCTCCTGATACAAATCGCTAAAAGACTCATAGTCTGTTAGTTTTTGTTCAGTAACTGTTATAATACAATGTCAACTCGTTTCTTTATCTACGTATTTTATCAAACTCGTTGGTGAATATGAAAACTATTAATTCTTATTTAAGAAAACAAGTCCTAGGCTGGATAAATTTGAATCGTATTAGTGGTATACTTTGGTGCACTGATTCAGTGCATGAATAAATAACAAACTTGAATAAATAACTAATGTTTTGATTTATCTAGTAAACAGGGTTTTTTAAGTATATTTCTGAAAAAATATATCGTTTCACACCATAAAATTAACTTGTCAGAAAACCTTCTGTTTATATTTTATTGTTACTATTATGAAACTTGGGATTGCTTAAAAAGTGATAAGTTAATTTATCGGTCACTGTGATTCACGCACTACTATGCTGCATAGCGTCATTATATTTTCATATTATCCAAATCTATTAAGAACACTAACTAATACAATTGATAAATGCAAGATATGTGATATCTCGTTTGAATCATAAACCGATCTAAGTTAGGCGACCATTAAAAACCTGGAAGTACTGGAAGGCTGTTTCGTCCTAGTATGGGAATCCTCAGCAGTGGAAACCCACAACTCCGCAAGCGAAACCTCTCACACAAACGTTTAACCTCTAGACCATTGAACCGACATCCAACGATATTAATATCCAACTCTAGTGAATCCACAACATTGCGTGACCATCTTTCATCGTCTTTGGAGGTAGTTTCTTCACACCTGACACAGATTAGTTTCATTAGCCATGGTTTCTCATGACCAGTTTATTATTTTAAAGAAATTCAAAAATCTCCACAACCCTATACTGAAAATGATATTTACCATTTATATAAAACAAAACTTCATTTTTATAATTTATTATTCAGACATGTTAAATAATGAATAAATAGATGTATGGTAACATTTTTTGTTTGCATATGTGTGTAGACATTCACGTGCTTAAAACTATCTTCGTTTATGAATGAAATCTAGTTGGTGCTGGTAGCCCTAAAATGAACCTTTTATGTTGCCTATGTGATGGTGGTAAACCAAGTAGAAAACGTTTATATTCAACTTTAGGCGGTAGACCAAGTAGAAATCTTTTATCTTCATTGACTAAATCTTCATCAGAATCAATATAATCTGGTCTATAGCCATAGCCATACATTGGACGTCTGTAACGGTTAAATGTATATGAAGGTTGGCTTAACCTTTTAGGTGTTGGTAAAGCTAACAGAAAGCGTTTATCTGCACTGATATCTGAAGGATCATCATTAGAGTCCATACAATTAATATAACTGGTTAATATTAGAAATCCAACAATCATACAACAGAAGGGTTGAAACCAATAGTTAATCATATTGGTTGAATATTCTGTAAATAATATCTAAAAAGAAATATAAAAAGGATACATATATTGAAGACTGATATTTGACCAAATATTATGTATTATGTTTTAAGAACAGTTTAAATATGATGTGAAGTTATTCACAATGTATTCATAGAACCTAAGCCGAAAGTTAGCGATGAATAAGTTTATTATGTCCGTTCAATCAACACAAGTCAACACAATTAGAAAAAAACCCAGCAAGAACATAATAACTAAATTGGTTTCATCATATCAGGAAACTTTTCAACTTAACATAAATTTAGTAGACAACTAACCAATTAGGATTTATGTGTAGATAATTTCTATGTTGAAATTCAACAATGAAACAGACATTCCTAGTTGAACAAAACAAACATGTAAAATTTCTTTATTGATCGGTATCTAAAAAAATATATTAATCAACAAATCTCTAAGAATTTAATAAATTTTGTTTTAATTATACACATATTTCAAGATGAATAGATGTATACTTGGTGTAATAAAGAAATTATTTTCAGAAAGGGGTTTTGTGGAGATTGTAGTGATTTTTAATAGTTGAATTCATGAGTCAATTGAAGTTAGATCACCATGGAAAACCTGAAGGCATTGGATGGCCGTTTCGTTTTAGTATGAGACTTTTCAGCAGCATGCATCCATGATCCCACGCCAAAGGGACTCGAACCCAGGACCTTCGGGCTGACGCGCGAACGCCTAACTTTTAAGCCACTGATCCGGCCAGTATCCAACGGTGTTAACATCTAACTTCAATTGTAACATGATTTTGTACAACCTTTCTTCCAATTTTACAATGGTGGTCTAGCGTAGATCGAGTCGTGAACTATATATATATATATATATATATATATATATATATATATATATATATTTGAACACATAAACATCGGTACAAGGAGACATCAAATACATATGCACCACACAATAACAATGAGACCAGTAGCAGTTATCATTGATATATGTATGAAGGCTGTGATACTACCCGGGCGTTCAGATCAAATCAGGAATAGTCTTCAGATGAACAATCTTAAAAATGTGGTATTTATCAAAAAGAATATATGGATTTAAATAACATAATTCTATATTAAATTAAACAAAGAGCCTCAGGTTATTTTATATGAATAAATGAAATGAATCAAACCATATCAGTCAGTCAGCTACAACATAGGACCAGGCACATATGTCCAAGTTGCCACACCTCATTAGCACAACAAGATTAACACCGGATTCATAAAAGTAGTTAATTCAGTGGTGGTAATATATACAAGAAAGATTGCATATAAGGACATAGTACAGGAATAAAGAAAAATATGAATCGTTTTCAATCTTATAGTTTAAGGGAAGACAGATTGTGTATACAATTAAGTCATCATGATCGATTCTGAGCCATGTCACCTAGAGTCTCCAACCACTACTGGTTATGATAGTCGCACAAATCACAACCAAGTAGTCTGAATCTACCAACATGGCTCAGACCAGAAGTTAATGACTTCAAGCACTGGTGCAAAGTTTTGGTTTGTCCGCCACTAACTTTCTTCCAATTATCCCTTACACTAATCAGCATTATGCGTCGTGTTAATCGGTGTTCAGGCATATGTAACACATGACCCAACCATTTCAGTCAATGAAGATTCACAGCTTCGTCAACCGATCTTATTGAAAAATTAACATTTTAAGTAAATTAAATTAAATTCTAAAATTTTAACTGTTAAGAAATGTAAATGAAATAAATAAGACTTTTAACTTACAATTTGATACATCGACTACAACTTAATACATTCGGTTAGTGTAAATAAAATAACTTGTATTTCGTTTTGTTTTTAGTTTATGTAATGAAATTGATACATTCAACATGATATAAACTTAGAAATGAATAATATGAGTAGTATCTATATAGATAATAAAATTAATTTTGGTGTAATGGTATGAATGAAATGGTGGTATATTGTTAAAGGTAATAAATATTTTAATCCTAATCATTAAATGAATAACATTGTACTGATATGTATCCAATGATTTATCATTGTAAAGAGGCAAAATATAAATACAATTTGTGATTATGTAATTGTCGATCTCAAAAGAAAGATATTCTTTTGGTTTTATGAAAGAAATATTTATGTATTTCAGCTGGACAAAAACAATATTTTAGGCATGAATACCGGTGATACAATGAAATCATTTACTTATGTTGTACATTTGTATTTATAGTTATATGAAAAATATATGTCTATGACTTTTTTCTTTGATAGGCCTGTTACTACCAATGGAGCATAAGCCGCCGACCAGCATTCTCCAATCCAATCTACTCTGGGCCTTCCTTTCTAGTTCGATCCAATTGTTGTTCATTTTTCTCATGTCTGTCTCCATTTCTTGGTGTCATGTGTTGTTTGGTCTTCCTCTTTTCCTTTGACCTTGAGGATTCCATGTGGGGGATTGTCTTGTGACGCAGTTGGGTGTTTTCCTCAATTTGTGTGTCCTATCCACTTCCAGCGCATATATGTCTATAGAAGGATAGAAAAGATTACGATGGAGTTTTGTTCTCTGAGTTGGATGGTTTCGTCAGAGAACAAAACTCCATCAAAATTATCCACCTGAGTTACAAATCATTTTCTAGCATCCAAGTAAAGATTGCATCATAAATTGATTCAAGACTCTTATTATCAAATTAGGTTACTCAATAATCAAGGAGTAAAAAAGAAGAATATAAGGATAAAAATAATTTATAGGTCAGAATTATGAAAGATAATTGTTTCATTGACAGATATTGAAGAAGTGACAAACATAAAGGTCATTAATAAAAACTGGATGATAATTGAGAAAACTTGTTTAAAAGGTAATAATAATGGATGACAGTTTAAAATTACAAAATACTAATTTAAAAAATCAATAATAACAAGAAAAATAAAAGATGAAAAAAGACATGGAAAAAAAAATCGAAATATACTATAAAAGGTAATTAGAGCCAAGGATGGATGAGAGGTTGGATGTATCTTTTTTATACACGAAGTTCGGGTTTGAGTTGGTGGATTTCCAATACCTAAATAGTGCATAAGATTTTTATTTGAATTCACTTTGATCTAATTCTTTTGACTATGTTAATTACTTTTAAAGAAGACCCCTTTTGGAGCAATATGTCCATAGTTGATTAAATGCTTTTGTAGTGAACTAGTAATTGTTTTGCATTCGCCTTTTAAAAATCATGCCGGGTAGTGTTCTGAGATGCATTTAGAAAGTGATCGTTTTGTGCGGTCAATGTAACTTTACCCACATGAGCAAGTTAATATATAGATGCACATTGATTTGACCCAAAGCGAAAGTTTATCATTAAGACATCCGTGAATGGTAAGTCGGCTTGAGAAAACAATTCAGAGCTTAGCTGAGTAGAATGTTTTATTCATCGATTTTGAAATTCGTTCATTCGAGATTTTAGAAGCCGGTATCTCTTTTAAATTTCATATTCATAAAAAGAGTTTCCTTTTGTAATGTTGATGTTTTTTCCGGATGATATCTATGTGTTAAGTTACTGTCGACAATAATAAAAGTCTCGAATCAATTTATGATGCAATCTTGTCTATCCTTCTATAGAGATGTATTTTTCATATAACTATAAATACGAATGTACAGTTTGATAAATGATTTCATCAAAAGGAAAAGGTTTCTTTGCCAAATTTTGTTTATTTTTATTCAATGATACGAAAATCTGGTTCATATATGTTTCCTCCCCTTCAAACCACTCTCCAGAAAATATTGATTTTTAAAAATAACATCAGTTATTATTGTTATAAGATGAATAAATAAGACAACAATTTATTCAGTGATTACTTTTTGAATAACAATGAGCTCTAATGATCATGCTATCACTAATTTAGATTTAAACTCAAGCGTTGTTACAGACAAAGATAATTTGTTTTCTGGTATGCCATATGTCGGGGAAAGAAAGTGCTTAGCTAGACAAACTGCGTACACATTCCAATAACGTCTAGATCAATCCCTACTATTTTATTCATAATCATTTTAAAATTTATGGTACAAGTATAGCATAATGACGACGTTGAGTTGACCAATTAGAATTAAGAAAATACTCAGTGATAATTGACAATAATCGATTCTAAAAATGCTTGAAATCTATTATGCAACCAAAAAGTGAATTTTAAGTGTTGCCTAAGATAAATTACACAACATACCTGCTCCTAAGGCAGAGTGTGTGCTAAATTACTAGATGTTATTTAATGCATATTTAGGAGTGTTTAGCTAAGCTAGGTAATATTCTTCTAAATCTCAATCCTAAGTTTCTTAAAGTTGTGAAAAGAAAATTGGCAAGGATTGGATTATAGCTGATTCTAGTTCATGATGGAAACCCTTACCTTTATTTGTTAGATTAAGTCAAAATCTCAACAGAACTCTTAATACCTAATCCAAACCTTTATGAAATATAAATGATTTCATTTAGTGACCAAAACTCTGTGGAAAGATAACCCTAAGTAAAAAACATTAGCTGGACTGTTAATATGTATATTGAACCATTTTCTTATTCTATGAAAAGTAGTTTAACATTTAAGTTAGTTATTCAAATCAAAGCTATTATACCACTGTTAGTTTATTTCTTTGTACTGCTAATTGTTTTATAACCAGGCAGCGTTTCTTAACTGGCTGATAATCCACTCATGTTCGTCAGTATATTATGCTTTTATCAGAAGGGTTTTTGTGGAAATTTTAGAAATTTCACTGATTGAAATCATGGGTCAATTGAAGCTAGACCATCACTTTTATCAAATTTCTCATCAAGATACTGAGAAAACATAGTCGGAAAGAGAGGTTTCAAATAAAATCTCTCAACCGATTTTTCCTTATAAAATACTTTAATTCTAATAATCTCATATACTTCCTTAACTAACTATTTTTATTGGGAATATTACTTTTTCTTGTACCAATTCCCTTAATTTATATGAAAAAAATTTTGGACACAGTTATATTCATCAGTCTTGACTACGACGTTTGAGACGTTTCTGTTTTTTTGTGTACTCCTTTACGATTATTATTCGTTTGCAAGTCTCAGTAACTACACATTATTTCAAACAATTAATGTTATTTAAAAGTTGCATTTTAACCTTAAACTTATTCTAGGACGCATCGGTCTAGTGCGTGAGCACATAATCTCTAGATCACTGAACCAGCCGGTATCCAACAATGTTAATTTCTAACTCAAATAATCCACGAAATTGAGCCACTGTCTTCAGTGAGTTACTATCTCATAACCGACCTGGTTGAACTCCACTGGTACTGTTTCTCACTAGAACTGCAGAAAAATACTTCTTGGAAACAGTCACTACTCAGCATACGATGATTATAATCAAGAGTCCCATACTAGGACGAAACAGCCGTTCAGTGCTTCCACGTTTTCCATAATGGTCTAGCTTTAATTGATTCATGAATTTAACTACAATCTTACTAAATATTTTATGATTCATATTCTAAATGAAATTTAGTTGAACCGATGTATGGAAAAAATAGGAAAAGAAATTTCTCATGAATTTCAAAAACGGTCACAATTTCTAAACTTTGTCTAAAGTATAGTTATAAATAAAATTTTAGTGTAATGATTCTTTGATCAGAATTAAGCTTAAACTATATAGATTGAATACAAACCATGTGTATAAGTAAATATTTATTATTAAATTTAGTCACGTCAATCTAATTACGGTCATTTATTAAACTTGACTTGGTAACTTATGCAAGTGAAAAAAATTTTTTTTTAATCATCATCAATTATTCTTTTACAGTTAATTATTGTAGATTTTAGTCTTAACAACAACAACAACAACAACAAGAAAAAAGATTCCCAATTTACACGAATGAATACGGTTGAACGAATGTGATCTGAATAGATGTTTATATTTCGGGGTGGTGGGGGGTGGGGGATATCGTTCTCATGGTGAGACTGTGTTTAGTATACAAATGAATTTGTAAATTATGGATATTTAATTGTATGCATCATTTATTACAATATTTTATTGTATTATAATGTGAAAAAGTGCGATTTACGGTTGATTGTTAATTTTTTTAGACCATAATATGCAATTGAGGGGAAAAAATTTGTTGGATAGAATAAGAATAGCAAGATTTACAGATTAGAATGAAATCTTTAGTAAAATTAAAATAGACTTCTGGAACTATTAGGGATCTTAATTCATATTTCAATTACTCGTTATGTTAATTATAAGAAAGTACATTCATGAAGCATTCAATACTATTATTATGTTGAAATTGGATATTTATTGTAGACCACATGAGAGGAAATTTCGGAGAGAATACATGAGTGATATTAGAGACATTGTTGAAAATTAAAGAAACTGTTCCTAAAAATAGAGACTGAACATGGGAAAGAACCTGAATATCATGTATACTGATTATTGGATAGGAAATAGATCTCTTAGAAGAACAAATGTTATAATGATAAAGCTATCCATCAATAACATTTTGTACTTTCTATCACCTGATTTCGTATCGGTGATGCATATTGCATATGGGAGGGGGCAGTTGAAGAGTTATTTACATCTTTGAAATACTCAATAAATACTTCATTTTCAAAACAGAGTAACTAATTGTGAAGGCGAAGAAATTTAAGTAACATGATAAAACAATACATATCTTCTAATTTCTTTCTCGCAATTTGGTTATTGATTAAAAAATGATGGATATTGAGTTGTTAAGAGTGTTTAAAAAGTCTATCAAAAAAAAGAAGAATTGTGTAGTCTCAAATATGTTCTATTTCAGTGCTTTTAATCGACTGTAGATCAAGTAAATTTACAACATAAAATAAGGTTTGAAACAAATGTCCAATGTATAGTAGTTAGTGATGTTAAGATGGAATTTTCAGGAGAGATTGGATATTAAGAGCAAATGACAAATTAATACCAAAGTTTAAAGTTGAGATGGATGGATATACAAATGTCTAGTCTAGAGGTTATAAACAATGCTGCTCAAAACAAAAACCAATATGTACGTAATGATACAGTATAATTTCTAAACATTTACTCAAAAGATGAGTATTAGTAGGTCAATGAATAAACCAGGTTATATAATAAGTTAAATTATTACAGGGCAAGTATAGTTATTAAAAGAAATTAAAGTGTACCATGCTTCCTTTCTGTATATACATGCCACGTAAGAATTAATTGGTATCGCTAGTCTCCATAAAATAGATTTAGTACTACATTTTGAATTTTCTAATTAGATTAAGAGCTGTGTAGATACGGAAATGATCAATTAGGTCTTTGAATAATCTAATTTACAGTAAGATTAAACTCACAAGCCGCGCTACCACTTCAGTTAAGAAACCAGAACGTCAACAAAAATGAGTTTGACATTGATCATTAAGTTATTCGATAAATTAGTATTTTTATTTTATCT